GCAAGATTTCAAAAGTGGTTTGCCATTGCCTGCTTCCTAGGGCTGAGAGAGAGAGTGACTGGCCCAAGGTCACCCAGTTGGCTTCATGCTTAACGCAGAACTAGAACTCAGTCTCCCGGTTTCTAGCCTGATGCCTTAACTACTACACTAAACTGGCTCTTTAAAATGTAGCAGATAAAAATATCCCTACAGAATAAAATAGAAATGACGGCCCATATTGTGATTTAAGTCTTCCCAGTAGCAAACCCACTAACTGAATATTCTTGGTTCTTTGCCCTTCATCAAGGAAACTATTTTAGTCTTAATGGACACATAGAAAATGTTGGTCTAGTGCAAGGGTAGTCTATTCATTTTCTTCTTTGAAATAGAGACTTCTTCATTAACACTCCATTCTATCTTTTGTGAACAAATCCAAGGCAGTGTCAGAAAATGCAGCATTGTCCACATGACAAGAGTTTTAGGTTTCTCAAGCTTCACCATTGTGGTAACACCCTAAATCAAGAAAGCAATTGTTCAAGCCTCTCAAGGATCATTAACAATAAGGAGAAGCAGAAATGGTTTGTGTGGCAATCCTTTTTATTGTTCAAAAGGAAACAGGAAGAAATTAAGTCCATTGTGGGTTGCCTTTCTATGAGCTCTGCATTTAGTTTCTTACTTTCTGATGTTCAGCAGACAGATTCTCTGTGTAGCTGCTGGGTTTTGCTGCTTTGAATGAGGGATGTTTTTTCTCTATTTTGTTTTTCTTTATATATGTGATAATTGATTTTATTTTTCTGTAACTGTCTTAACATTTTAAAATGAAAAGTTATGTACAAATTGAGTAAATAATAAGGGGAGGGGTTGTAAAAAAACATCTTAATAAAAATAGAGGATGTCCTCTTCCATCTTTATTTGCATTGACATGTGTATTGGTTAATGGAAAGCGTTTATGCCTCTACACAACAAAATTACAACAAGCACTAGGCCTGGGTCTTTCTTTAAGCCCATACTTAGAGAATCTGGGGAAGATCTGGAGAATCTGGGGCTCTAAAATTTATCATCACCACCATTCTGATGAAATACTTGTCCAAAGAAATACAGCATCATTCCAAAAAGATGTATATCCTTTTAAGTACCTAAATAATTCCTGTTTTTTTAAAGTCAAGATGAGAGCAGACGAAGAAACCTTGTTTTAACACTAGATGCTTTCTACTTCATCAATGAACTACTCAGTTGTTTATATCCTGACTGTATAGACTGTATGAACACATTTTGTGTTTTGTAGTCTGACTCAGTCTCCATAATCTTAGAATACTTCAGTCATTAAAACACCAGTCCTGTATCATGCGCAGTGTAATGCTTTTAAGTATAGGAAAGTGGGAATACAGGTAGTCCTCGTTTAATGACCACTCATTCAGTGGCTGTTCGAAGTTATGACAGTGCTGAAAGACGGGGACTTACAACCTTGTTATTGCAGCCATCTCAGCTTTCCTACAGACACGTGATCATGATTTGGGCACTTGGCAACTGGCTCACAATTACGACATTGCAGCATCCTGCAGATCGCCATTTACTACCTTCACTGCGGGCTTCCGACAAGCAAAGTCAATGAAGAAGCCGGCAGGCGGTTGGAAATGGCGATCACGTGACTGCAGAACGCTGCGACTGCACGGGATTCACGTAATGGTGGCAACTGGGCCTGCCAGAACTGCCTTTGTAAGTTGCCGCAGTCATGTGATATTGCACTTTATGGCCATGCTGCTTAGCAATGGAGTTCTCAGTTCCAATTACCATTGGTAAGCGAGGACTACCTCTAGTAATAGAAGCATATTTTGGCATCAGATATCTTTAAGATAAAACAGCAGTGCTTTTGCAATAGATTCCCTCTCTTACATACACACTTGTTGGAACCCCCAGACCTGCAGGTTAATGGACTCTTGATAACAAGGGTATATGGGGGAGGGGGGAAGGGAGGAGTACACTACATGGATACAATTAATCTGACATAGTCAAATTAGCCTAGACCTCAACATGTGTCATTTCTCTGATTGTGTCAAATGTTCCTTTACATACCTTTATATACATAGTTAGCTTATATCCTGACTTTCGTGAAAGTGAAGGTGGTATACACTGGATTCTCTCCTCCAATTTTTCTCCAATAGCTAAGAGACCACGGCCCAATATCATCCAGTGAGCTTTCATATCTGAGGATTGATCTGGGCCTTGCTTAACACCTTAACCACTGTTCCACTTAAATTCCTTAATCACTACACCACATTAGCTTTCAAAAAGTGTTCTTTTAGAGGTACTTTGTCCTTTTCTTCTGAGTTTTTAACTAAGAAACAAATTTTGCAAACAATATTTTCATGATACTTTATTGTAAGGCCCTTTGAGGAATACAGATTTTTAAAGAGAAATCTTTAAAATATGCTTACTATATTGTACCACTGTTTTTATCACTTTTTCCCCATCTTCACAGGCCTATAACAGCTGTACCAGACTTTGCTTAAACCAAGACACAGTCTGCTTAGGTACTACAATGAAGACTGAAAACTGTGTGGCCAAAGTAAGTAAAACTGTGAACTATCTTTGTGTTGTCTCAGTACATGATAAGTTCTATTAATGGCAGGCTCTTTTAATTGCGCTTGTGGAACAAAATGTAAAAATATGTGAGTGTTTAAGAATAAACCTAACTGAACTCTTAGGTACATATGGCACCCTACCTATAATCTCTTGGCTTTGATGCACTTTTTTAGCATTAGTCCTAAGAATACTTCTCCTCTCCTTTTTTAGCTTTTTGAAAAGAGATTAAAGGCCAAAATATATTTAAATTATTTTGTAGGCCCATTTAACAGAATACAGTGCATTTGGAAAGTATTCAGACCCCCTTCACTTTTTTCAATTTTGTTATGTTGC